TTATGTATACTTTTTGTTCATTTTAATTTTTGAACTAATATGATTCTTAAAACTATAGAATGTAAAGTTTAAATGGGCCTTTCATGTTATATCATTAAATTTAGTAATACTATTTCTCGGGCATTAGGTTTTAACTCTTATAAGAATATACATATTTTTTTCTGTTAATGTACAAATATTTTTCCGATGTGTTTTGGATATTCCTTCTCTAATAAAAAGAGATACCATTTTGTTTTCGGTTGTACAAGAAAGAAGATCAAGCATTTTTCTTTTTTAAATTTAATAAGCCACATTAAAGAAGGAACGTTGCAATGCTACACGCTACATTAACGACGTCTCCAGAGTAACTGAATGACGGTTCATATGGAAATCGCAGGTAAGCGTCTCATACAACAACGCCCCCTATAGTTCGTTGCGATCGCGAATAATTTAAACAAACTACCATAAATAATTATTAATTAAAAATCGTATGAAGAATTAGTCGTATTAAAATTTAATTCAATCATTATACTTAATTTATTCTCAATAAATAATTAATTTATTACTCTTTATTTCCCTATAATCAAGAAATAAAAACTCGTCGTGGACGCAGCTGATTAATAAATCGTTTCCTGGTTTTTGGATCTTACTCCTAAATGGTTCTAACGAAACCGCTTGCAAACATACAAAAAAGTTGAATCGGTTTTCATCTTAAGAAAAGAGTGGAGATAATTCCATTTTTTTCTTTTAGCTATGAGCAAACGATTTTACGTTGAATTAAAAATATAAAAATTTTCCCTTTTATACGAAATCTTTTTCAACGCTGTATCGATATTTTTTATTGCAACTTTTTCATCGTAATTAAAATTCATATGGAATATTCATTTGGAATTTGATTGGTGCATTTTAAACAAAACGATCAAGCTGGATCGGTAAGAATGTTCCCTAAGTTTCTAAATAATCGTGAATTGTAACTTGTAATTTATTTTATTGCGAATTGTAATTTTTCAACGCTTTTATTATTCTTTAATATTTTAACTTTTTCCATTGTATTTTGTTTTTCAGTTAGAATTATTTAAAATCTTGAAAAAAGAACTAATGCTAAATGAATATTGACATCAATGAATTTAATCGTTCGAAAAGTAGACCGCCAAATGGTTTACTTTTTAAAAGTTAAAGAAATTTGGAGGGATCTCCAAAAGCTTCGTCTCGCCAAACTGACCCCGAACTGACTCGCTGTCATCTGTTTTTGTTTATGTATTAGCTGCGAAAAGGTATAATAAGGAATGGATTATAAAAAATTTTTGTGGAATTTTTATGGAATACGGAATTGATTAGATTGATACGGAATTTTTATTTTAACCTTGCAGCTTGTAAATAGTAACTTAGCTATTTTTGTGAATTAGCTGAGTTCAACAACATTGGTTCTCTGAGCATTGGTATTTCATGAAATAACTAGACCAGTCAGTTAAAAGTATATAAAATTATTGAATTCTACGATTCGGCTAGTATTCTATAGAATAACGATTACTGAATCGTTTAGTATAAAATACGGCTTTGCAGGGACGTGTGTGTGTGTGTACGCTTAATTCCGTTGCTTTTAGACGTAGTAATTGATATGAGCAATAATAAATTATATCACCTGATTCAGCTTATTATTTATTAATTATCCGCAATAGGAATAAAATGTAATTTTCGAGAGATTTTAGCTATTTATGATTTTATAATTTATAAAATAAATTTGAAATGGTTTATTTTTCACTTTAATGGTCTATCATTAGTTATTTCAGAGAATAATTAGGTAAAGTATGAAATTTTTCATCTATTACATACTTAAACTGACTTGTCTAGTTATTTCATGAAACACCTAGTTATTCTATGACTTGTTCTATGAATAACAGAAATACACTTTAACGGTAATATATAAACTGGAAATATCGATTTTCATAAATCTGCTTAAATATCAATTTCTAATTGTATTTTTTTATTTAATACTTTAAACCACTAAATATGAAGAAGTCTTTTGGTAAAATTAAGAAACTAGACAAATAATATTATTAATCATAATAATAATAAATATATTTTAAAAAAAATACTTTTAATTTTTTTTTTAATGTTTAATTAAAATATCTGAATATTACTGTTTGGCAGCAGATATTCGAATATTACCACCGCAGTCCTAAGACAATAATTCTTCTTCTTCTTCTTTTTTTTTTCGAATTTTTTCCTTTAGCAACTTCGAAGTGAATTTCCCTAGAAATCCACTCCTCCTTTTGGGTGAATTTGGACTGTGCTAGGAAGGAGATATGGCTCAATCTTGTGGCGCCATCTTATATGTAACATCGGAAATAAAACAGATTTTATTGGAAAGTTCTAATGACACACGTGTTGGTAAAAGATGCATGTATCAAGTTGTTAGAAATAAAACACGTTAGAAATCGAATAAATTCGCTGTTTTTAAGTGAAATAGTTTCAATTTAAAAAACTGGTGTTTTCAATTAATCAAGCAGATTTTAATCATGGTGCCACATTGTTGCGTGCCATTTTGTAAAAAGGATGATCGGAGAAAAAAGGGCCATGATGTTTCGTATCATGAATTTCCTTGTGATACTGATGTGAGAATAAAATGGATCAACGCAATAGCAAAAAAAGGTAAGTTCCATTTTTTTTTTAAATATAAATACATTTTTTTTTAATTGAAACATTATTATTACTCAATTACTGATAATTAGGGTTTCAAGTTTATCGCAGTACGAATTTCCACGAACAGTTAATATTTTTTAATTTGTTAATTTTTAAACAGCAACAAGATATTTGCGCGGAACTTTTAAAATTGTAAATGTTTTGGTTTTCGAATTTATAACTTTCATTTTAAAATTCGTCTGCTCTCGCCATCATGGTTTTCGGGTTAAATTCTTTATTTGCGTTCCATACTGGATTTTTTTTTCTTTCTGTTTTTACACTATTTTTCAGACTTTTGAGTAATTTGAACGAGAATAAAGTTGAAATAAAATTTTATTAGATATTGATCATTTTTACAACTTCAGTAGATTTTTCTTTTTAATTGTCAAGTAATAAAAATATGCAATTCGTGGTTTAGAGTAATTAATTCAAAACTACACATTTGTCTGTTTTTCGATTTTTAAAATTTAATTTTATTTTAATTTAAACTAATAAACACCTATTTGGGTTTTGCCGGAAAAAAAGTTTTTTTTTTCTACTTATGAAAAAACAAAGATATTTGTCAAAAATTTTAAAAAACAGGCAAATGTATAATACTAAACTTCCTTTCGAAAAATGCTGATCGCAGCATTTTATTGGTTTTATTTTACTAGAAAAAAATTAAAAGACTATGTAATGTTGAACCCAATCCAAAAGACAAGGGAACCTTTGGATCTAGTAGTGGGAAGAAAATTTGTGTTTGTGTAGGAATTTTTGATAGAACTAACCCACCTTTGCGATACATTGAGAAAAAAACCTCCCATAGTAAGCCGGATGGCAAGAGGACTTCTAACCTACCGAAATTGGCCAAATCCACCTGAGTGATCGAATTCTAGAAAAGTCCAATATTTAAAAATCAGTTTCTCATTTCAACTATTCGACTGTTTTCCGGTAAAATTTCGTTGTTTTAATACAGATATAAAAAGATTCAATAAAAATGGGCGTTATAACATGAGATTGCTATAACGTGAGTACACAAAAATATCGCAAATATTTACTTAGAATTAATAAATGCTGAACAGCTTTTGACGGAAACATTTTTCTTCGATTCTTCTCTTTCAAATTTTTTAATCTCTGTTCTAAGCATATGACATTCCGCTGTTTAAGAGTAAATATTTTCATAAAATGGCATATACACGCATTTTAACTTCACAATAAACCCAAAAGTAAATTTTCATTCATTCTTTTCGCCATATACAGTCCCTGGCCAAATTATTAAACGCACTACAAGATTTTAAGAAAAATCTTAATTATCAAGTGATCCTATATAGCTCTGTTGTTTTTATGCGACTGAAACCGGTTTCCACTTGTTTACAATGGTGTATCAATTGGTTAAATTAGACGTTATATTATCTAAATATAGAATATTTATTATAACAGGTATTATATTAGTATATTATAATAATTAAACCAAATTATTAGACGCACTGTAGTGTTTTAATGATTACATGTTTTGTACGAGTTTATATGATTGAAAATGATTGATGAATGGGGGTTAATTTATGTTCATTTCTTGTGTAGAAAAAACTTTCACACTAAAAGAGAGAGAGAGAGAGAAAAAAGAAAAAACAAAATTGTTTTATTGCTAACTTAATAATTTCCCATATCTTTCTCTCTTTGTCGTTTCTTTTAGATCCTAAAACAAATAAATTATGGTTACCAAGCGATTGCTCTGTGGTTTGCAGTTTACGAATCAAGGAAATGTTATATATATTTTTTTTTTGGTTGCTAATTTGATAGTTTCCACTCTCTTTCTTGTCGTTTCTTTTAGATCCTGAAACAAATCAACTGTGATTACCAAGCGATTGCTCTATGGTTTGCAGTTTACATTTCAAAGAAATTGTTTTTTTGTTAACTTAATCGTTTCCAATCTCTTTCTTTCTTTTCGTTTCTTTTAGATCCTAAAACAAATAAATTATGGTTACCAAGTGATTGCTCTAAGATTTGCAGTTTACGAATCAAGGAAATTGTTTTTTTGCTAACTTCAATCTCTTTCTTGTCGTTTCTTTTAGATCCTAAAACAAATAAATTATGGTTACCAAGCGATTGCTCTATGGCTTGCAGTTTACATTTCAAGGAAATTTTATTTTTTTGCTAACTTCAATCTCTTTCTTGTCGTTTCTTTTATGTCCTAAAACGAATAAATTATGGTTACCAAACGATTGCTCTATGGCTTGTAGTTTACATTTCAAGCAAAAAATTTTTTTGTTAACTTAATTGTTTAGAATCGCTTTCTTGTCGTTTCTTTTATATCCTAAAACGAATAAATTGTGGCTACCAAGCGATTGCTCTATGGTTTGTAGTTTACATTTCAAGGAAATTGTTTTTTTGCTAACTTAATTGTTTCCAATCTCTTTCTTGTCATTTGTTTTAGATCCTAAAACGAATAAATTATGGTTACCAAGCGATTGCTCTATGGTTTGCAGTTTACATTTCGAAAAGAACTGTTTCAGAACTTCATCCTCATACGTCATGAAGCGACATCCTCATCTCAAAAGGCTTGTAAAGGGAAGCATTCCGACAATATTTCCTGGACAGCAAATTAAGGTTAGTATACTTTTATGATAGCACGATAAATTTTCGAAAATTTTATGAGAATTAGACGAAGCATTATCGCTGTTAATCCATGAAAAACCGAGAAATTAAAATTGAACCTATTTATTTTTTGGAAGAAACTGTAAAAACTGTGTCATAGTATTTATTTTTAAGAATGTCTTTATTTAGATATTGAACATTAAAAGCTACACTGAAATCTTGATCAGGACCGCTTAAGAAATAAACCGGAAATCACTATTTTATGAAGTTTGCGTAAAAGAAACTGCCTCTAGTAATAAAAGAAAGAGTGTTGTATGTCGGATTATATCGTATGTAGTCCCAGAATTGTCTTTTCATGAACCCTGAAATTCGCATAGCAAATGCAAGTGGCAATTTTAGGCCTCCCAACCTTAAGAGCAGTGCAAAATATTCAAATAAATATGAAATGCGAACAATTCAAAGTAAAAGTTAATTTGGATGGTGATTAACAATTTAATTACCATGGCGGCACCTGTGAAGGATACTGTTTGATATTGCAGTTAAAGGAAGAAACTGTTAGCCTTTTACCTGTCAAGTTATTTTGATGATTTGTGTACATAAATTGAAAATTTTTTTTATTGCAAAAGTAAAATGTTTAATACAAAATAAAATATACTTTACATCCATAAAAATTTTAAGATTTTGTTGTCACTGCATTTTCGTTTGAGGCGGCTGCCACTCAGTATGGATAAAGTTCACTTCTAGTAGAGCATTATTTTTCATAAAAATTAAATTTTTTAAAATTATTTTCTAAAAAAAAGAATAATCTATCTAACGTTTTAATGAACTGGATGTCACTTTGCAACAAAAAATGACGTGCACTTGGAACATAAACCTCTACCCTTTGAAATCTTCAGTAAAGTGCTGCCATCTATTGTTTTAAATTGCACCTAAATTATCCTTTCCCGAGATTCTGGTTTGACAAAGAGATGAAGCCAGATATTCGGGAAATTCCAGATATAGAAAGAAAAAATTACCCCAAGTAATACTCGGACGTGAAATTTTGAAACACCAGTGATCCGAGATTATTTAGAGCTTGGCAGAAATGAAGAGAGTGAAAAAATTTCATCTTTATGGTCATTCAAAGAACTTCTTTTTTTACAGAAAAGACGGTCTCGTCAGTCGTATACTTAGACATATTGGAAAACTTCGTATTTCCACAACTAGAAGAGCTTCAGCCGCATGTTTTTTTGCAACAAAATGGTGCATCACATCATTGGGGTATCATCGTTCGTAGTTCTTTGAATGACCATTTTCCAGGAAGATGGATTGGGTGAGGAGGTCCAATTCCTTGGCCACCCAGATCACCTGATATAACGGCGCTGGATTTTTTTGGGGGGGATTTATAAAGAACAATGTTTACAGAAGGATCGTGTCGAACATTGATGACCTAAAAGTCAGAATTACAACCGCAATAGCCTCTGTGGATGCCGACATGCTTGCCGCTACCTGGCGTGAAATTGACTATCGACTTGATA